AGAACACGTTGAAATTGAGTGACAAACTTGAAATAATTAAGAAACTAGTACGTGGTGTGAGCAATACTGTTCTAATGGAAACATACAACATTGGAAAGTCTACAATTTATGATATCAAAAAGGCAAAGAATAAAATTCTAGAACTCACAGCTTTTTCATTAAAACTGCTCGTTTGATAAATAAAGCATGCTATATTTGCTAATGAATAAACTATCAAAATGTACCTGTTCATCTCTTCTTTATTCCTCCTTAAATTTCAATTTTAAAAGTACAGTACTGCCTGAGAATCCGGAAAATCCGAAAATCCGGACCGACCCAATCCCCAAGCAGTCCGGATTTTTGGACTTTTACTGTATATGATGTTTATATTCAAAATGATCATCAAATTATAAGAATTCCAGCAATGTAAATTATATTCTGACCAGGTAATTTGTATGAATTTTATGAGCTAAAACAAATATCTTCAGTTAATAAAAAAAAAAAAAATATTCTTCACAGGGTAACAGATGGTCGGTCGGTCCCTCCCTCTCCCCCCCACCCCCCACCAACCGTCCCAAGGAGATGTGTGGGAAAACCAGAATACTTAACTTTTTTGTAAAAAAATAATACCTCAAACTAAAGTTAGGATAATATAATTGACATTGCTGGATTCCTTGTAAGACCAGGAATATTTTGAATATAAATGTCATATATTTTGCACAAAAGATAACATATTTACTCAAGAGTAAATATATATATATATATATATATATATATATATATATATATATATATATATAGCTAAGGTACTCCGTTGTTTCCATCTTCCCGTGTGATTTTATCAAGATTTATCTTATCCACATATATATATATATATATATATATATATATATATATATATATATATATATATATATATATATATATATATATATATATATATATATATATATATATATATATATATGAGTGCAGTACTGTAATGTACTGTAATATAACAATACTGTTCAGTATTACCATGGTACTTACTTATATTTTCATATATTTTCAATGCCCCAGTCAAATAACGTGGGACAAGAGTTTCCATTAGTTGAAGAGTGAGCTCCATGTGTTTCACCAAACCAACAACACTGTAGTCTTCAGACACAACCTGCTTGGCCAACTGTAGAGCATCTTTGTGTCCTATTGTCCTGCCAGAGAAAAAAAGAGAAGGAAATTTAGGTGTAGAGAACATATCATCTACCTCACAGTAAAACTGATTAGACTGCCACCTGTTGTTAATGATGTAAATTTCAAGATACAGTACATCTTAAAATTACACATGGTTAGTTTTACAATCTATGTAACTATTCATGTAGATTTATTTTTTTCCAGGTATGGTTGAGAGATATGTTGATGAGGAAACACTTTAGGCTACAGTAATGAATATCATAGCAAGAGACCAGCCGAAAGACCTCACACTGCAACATAGCCAGGCTAGTTCTCTTCTTGCTGTCTCCACAACCACTTGAGCAATCTGTCACAGTGTACCATCCATCGAGCAAAGCTGTAGCACACAGGCGAATAAATTACTTTGTGACACAAGGTATTCTCGGTTTTGTAGAGAAGATATTTGATTGCAGATTTATTATGATAAACAGCAGCATTAACTATGGAATATTCAGTAGCTGACATGCTGTTGTACAGTACAGTATCATTTTCTTGTGTTGCATTGCAGATGAGTGATAGCAGAGTTCTTGTAAAAAAAAAAGAACTGAACTTTCAGTTGAATTTGTGAGCTCTATGAATTAATTTCTTGACTGACTGACCAATTAAGAGAATATTTCTGTTCTTGACCTGTTTGTATGTGCAGCACTGTTAACCATACTACCAGCCAAACCCTAAACACAACTTAAACCAATTTTTTTTTTTTTATTCTTAGCATAAGATAGTGTAGAAACTCACTACTATATGATATATTATGTTATGTTATGGAGAAATTGATTTTAAAGACTGATGACCTTCCTATTTCCTGTAACATGCAAAATTTTCTCAAGTTGTGTTAGCCAATAATCATCTTTACATTTTCTACTTTTTTAATTCTTTGCAATGACATTAGGAACTTTGGGTTACAAAGTTGGTTTACCTGTTTATAGACACAATAAGAATCAGTCATCAACTGTTTAACTAACTAGTTGTCTGTCTTTAGATATTCATCCTGTTTGTGTAAACTTAAGTGTGCATGGCATTGTTTATTTTGAAGTACAGTGGGGTATGCTATAACGAATCTAATTGGTTCTAGAACCTTGTTCATTATAGGATTAATCTGTTCCAGGCCCCCAAATACAACCACTTAACACTGAAACATATAATATAAAATTGTAAAAATTGTAAAAAAGTGCATAAATATGCATCTAAACCCCTGAAATAACCAATATCATTAATACTTGTAATAAAAAAACAATAAATTAGTAAAAAAAAAAAAAAAAATAAAATAAAATAATGTTCGTTGTAGGAGTTTCGTTCGTTATAGCATTCTCAATTTTATAGGTAAAACCGTTCGTTATAGGAATATTCGTAGTAGGATCCGTTCGTTATAGCATACCCCACTGTACCTGTACAGTATAAACAAAAACAAGAGGATGTTGCCACTGCACTTTGACTTTATAGTCTGTTAAACATTCTCTCACAGTTGTGGTCACAGTTATCATGCACATTGAGTAGGAGAATCTTTTTCTTGTGTCTTCTGTCCAGGAAGCAGCCAGGAAGAAAAGATGAGAAGAGGGAGGCTTTCGACAGTGTATCCCACGAAAGGCTGAAAATCAAACTGGAAGGGTACGGAATTCGGGGAAATGTCTTGTGTGGATAGAAGTCTTTCTACATGACCGCAAGCAGTGTGTGGTGATTAATGGCATGAAATCATCAACCGTACCTGTCACAAGGGCAGTGTATTGGACCCGCTGTTATTTGTTTGTTTCATAAATGACATGCCTGACGTTGTACACTCCTCCATACAAATGTTTGCCGATGACGCCAAGTTATTTCTGGAAATTAAGAACCAAGCGGACTGTGAGGAACTGCAGAAGGACCTCTGTGGGCTCCAGGAATGGTCGAAGAAATGGCTGCTGAGATTCAATGCCACGAAGGGTAAGAGGATGCACCTGGGGCATACCAACGGTAAGGAGGCGTATCTTATGTCCCAACGGGATGAAGAAACTGCACTAGTTGAGACTGTGTGTGAGAAGGACCAAGGTGTGTATGTTGACAATGAGCTGAAGTTCTCAGGCCATTGTGAGAAGAAGGTAAATCAGGCAAATAAATTATTGGGTCTTATAAGAAGGTTGTTCAGATATCTAGACGGTCCGTCCCTCGTAACAATCTTCAGAAGTGAAGTGCTTCCCCATCTGGAGTACTGTCACCCCATCTGGTCCCCGAGATATGCTAGGGACTGTCAGTTGGTTTAAAATGTTCAAAGGAGGGCCACCAAACTGGTGCCTGCACTTCGGCACCTCAGCTACCCTGAGAGATTGGAGCGCCTGAACTTGCCTAGCTCATACTACAGAGGGGCAAGGGGGGACCTAGTTGAGGTGTATAAGCATCTCAGGGAGCACTACTCAGTTGAGTGTCCTTACTTGGAGCTGGCAGACGCTCGCCCCACAAGGGGTCACAGCTCAAAATTGAAGAAGCCGCAAGTCCGTGAGGGTAAACTTTTTCGGAGTGAGGGTTGTAAACTCTTGGAACAATCTACCAGAGAGTGTTGTGACGGCACCGAGTGCGAGTTCTTTCAAGACAAGACTTGACCAACACTGGGGCGGGTTCAGGTACATTCAGGAGCCGGTGCATGCCCAGTATTTGCCAACAGTGCGTGACAGAGATGTGACCCATTGCCCGGGCGGCTAGCGAGCCGATCTTTTGATGAAGAAGATAAATGAAAAGGAAAAGTAATCAGAGACGTGACCGATCGCCCAAGTGGCTAACAAGCCGATCAGTGGCGAAGAGGATAAAAGTAAAAGTGAGGTTGTGAGTAGTAAGAGTACAGTATCTGGGTAAATTGCAATTGAGTAATGCCGAGGAGTTGCACCTTGGAGCTGTATGTTAATGATATCTTTTTCCCTACTTGGATTTCATATTAACCCTTTAGGTGCGTAATTAAATTTCGCGCCGGTTCCTGAAAAGTGTCAATTATCCTGCCAAAAATGAATTTCATATAATCACATTTTCTATATGTTTTTCCTAGAGAACTTTTAGTATATTTTCCAAATCTGGAACAAAAATTCACATATGTGTGCAAATTTTAGAGAAAAAATGACATTTATACCCAAAAATGCAGGAAATTGGTATAAATCAATGTCTGGTATATGGCAAATAAATTATATCAATTTGGTTACTAAACAGCAAATTTAGATATGTATTACATATTCAGATAATATCAAACAAAATAGTACAAAAATAAGCTATATTGCATTCAAGAAATACTCCTATACCTCAATACATAATATGTCCGCATGTCGTCTCATTTGGGGAAGTTTTTTCAAGGCCGTGGGATATCCCCGCTTGTCGCATTTAATTAATATAATATTTTGGGCGGGTTTACCCGCATGTCGCATCCAAAGGGTTAATAAACCTTTTCTTAGAGTACATTAGGGGTATTCATTTTCCCGCAGTAGTTCACTTTTATTTCTGTCCAAGTGACCCTGATATCAGAATTACAATACCCATGTGCCCTAGACCCTTGCCATGCTACCAAAGAACTGAGGTTATGTAGTAACCAATGAACTGAAATAAGTAGAAAGAACATTGAAGGAAATAAGAAAAGGAATAGAGAAGTATGAGAAAGACAAGGGGGGGCAGTAAGAGAGAGAACACCCCCCCCCACTTACAACAGTATATTGCGATTTTGCACAAAATACCAGAGATTGCAATTCTGGGCTCGACACCAAATATGACTTTTCTTTCAGACTTGAAATTTAATGGGATTAACTAAGAAGAAAGCAAAAACACCAATCACCTCGGAGACCCACAGCTGGCGAGCACATTAATTAGCATCGAGAAAATGTCAATAAAATATTCCAAGCATCTTTACAACCACTAATTATCCAGCAATCGATTTGTGGACCATGGATTAGGAATCAGCATGCTCTGGAGTACCTATACTGTACTGAGATTTTAAACCAAACCCAATTTTGGGCCAAAATGGCCAAAACTGTAAGCTTAAAAACATTTTAACCATGCAAATCATATTCATTGCTGATGTGATTTGCATCATGATGCCCAAAGCTAGAAGCATAAGAACTTCCAATATCAAGCAAGAGCAATTTTTTTAAAATATGTTTACAAAGACAAAAAAGTAGAAGCTTCAAAGCAACCTATCCATATCCTGACCCTTGAAGGCAGTATCAACTTAACATGGAGACCACATTCTCAGAAAAAGCAACTTTCAGCAGCTGTAATCTATCAGTACATGTGACAAAATTGTTTACGTTTTGATATTTTCAGCAGCTGTCACCTATCAGTGCATGTGACAAAATTGTTAACGTTTTGATACTTTCACAACTCCAAAATTTCAGGATAAATAATTTGCGCACAATCTCAAACAAACCCATCCCACTCAGTCACAAATGTCAGTTTCTTTTCATATGAAATAATACAGGGGGTTCTATAGCAGCAAGTAATGTGAATAAAAAACTGTAATGAAATTACAATCACACAGAGAGCAAACTCAATATGAATACTGTATCTCAAGAGTAATAGTATCTCTACACACAGCAGCTTTCTCAACAGCCATTTATATACTGTACTCCAAACCACATCGTAAATATTTCCAATTCCTCACTTACCGGCAGAAGATGTGGTGGCCACAGAAGAAGGTGACAAAAGTTTCCTTTTCCTCACCAGGCAGAAATAAGCATTCCGAGTCATTAGTTGAAACACACTCCTCCACTGTTCTAAATAAACAAAGAAAAATTAAATTTTTTATTGGGTGAGATGTCTTTAACCTAACAACTTTCAAATAACAAACTATCTTTCCATTGTCATTACCATTTTACTATGCACATTATACTACATTCATCTATATAAGTGCTTTACTCCTTCATTCTGATTATCCATCTCACATTCGTTGTCACAACACAGCAGACCCCACTTACACTCCCTATTAACTTAACACTTCTTCCGTTAACAAATTTGTGATTATTAAGAATAACTTTCTTGAACTTAACAGACTTGCATATTCCCCCTATCCTGTTCATATCAAGGGGTCCTCACAGTACCTACAACTCATGCACACCAACACTGATTACTGACCTCCAACACAGGTGATTTATCCACATTCTCAAAACAAATATTTCAAAATAAAAGTAATAACATCAAATGTGAAATATTAATAAGGTATGTAGGCTTCTATGGGCATTTCTACATTACTATTAACAAAGGGTGGATCAGGGGGGAGGGTCCGGAAACCCCCCCCCCCTCTCCCCACAAACACACGTACACTTAAACCAGAAAATTCCAATACTTTTTCTTTAATGTACAATAGTAATGCACTCAGATATTTTTGTAGTACTGTATAGTAAAAAGTATGAACTATTGACTTCAGAATATCTCTTAATATCAAGTGAGCATGGCTTCAAAATGGCCTGAAAATGCCCATGTTATTGGTCAGATTTCAAAAAGGAAAATCTTCTGACAGCCCCCATCCAAAACCTCACAGTTAGGTGGGCTCGCTGCACTCGTCATCTTCGCCCACCCACAACTTCTTGGACTCCCCCCTCCCCCTTGATATTCCTGAATCCGCCCCAGTTAGCCCTGTAATATGATTGAAAGATCAAACGGTGAAATGAAATCAAACAACAAAATGAATTCTCCGAGATATACAGGGTGAAAAAAGAAAAAGATTATACACACAACCCTACAAATTTTTGCGAGTTGTTCCACTAGTGATGGCAATGTTGCTGTTGCTTTACGAGCATTCATGTGATCTTGAAAATCTGTGAAGTAGAGTGTGTATAATCATTTTTACACACCCTGTACAGTATATGACAATCTGAGTTAAAACAGTCGTTCCCAACCTGTAGTTCGAGGTCGGAAGCATATTATGAAGCCCACAAGGGTTTATTAGATTTTTTTTTAAATATTTGAGATTATTTGTCAAGTGTGAAATTAATGAAAATATATAACAACTTGATGCGAGTTTATAGTGAAAGCGACACTTTACCAAGGATGATAAGTTATTGTACAGAACTCAAGGAGTTAAATATTCTCATATCTTCAAGTATCTTTTCACTAAATTCACTTTCTACATTATTTCCTTTGTTTTTTCCCATCCTCTTATTACCTGTTGATCCATCTGGGAGAGACCATGCTCAGGTGACCACGAGAGTGAAGACGGTTTAGCCTCTCATCACTGCGGCGGTAATAGAATGAAGAGATGAACTGCTCTACTGGGTTCCGGATGATGTTAATATAGACTGGACGATCTTCACCAAGCCTGGGTATGAGAAAGGTGTTCAGCAAAAAGTAAAAAAACTAAAAAACTTTAACCTTGGATAAAAGTCTTAAGGAAATTAACTTGCACATCTTTTAAATAGCCTAAATAAAGTTAGGTTAGGTCACGTTTGGTTTGTGACTTTTCCTACATTCACGAGAAATGTGAGACAGAATAACTTCTTTACTCTATAGTTTAACCATACAGTACAGGGCTGCCTCACTTCTCGCAAAGGTTACGGGCATGAAACTCGTTGCTAATATCGAAATTGCGAATAGTGGAGAAATTTCTCCCATAAGAAATAATGTAAATAGGGGGGATACGGGTATCGCGGTGGTCACGCCCGTCAGATTTTAACACTTGTTTTACTCAATACATTTAGAACAAAAAAATAAAGTTTGTGAGTGTTTAAATGTTTATGTGTGTAGGTGTGTGAGGTAAGTTTTAAATGTAGACATCACGGAACCTTGTCACCTTCGTAGCCATCAGTGATGTTGCAGACCCGGCCATCTCCTTGATCTTGTCGACACTTTTAACTATAGAATGCACAGTAGAGGGCGCCAAGCCGTGCGCGCGTCCAATCACCGACTTTCCTTCTCCATGTTCATGTCTTTTTACGATATCCAATTTCACGTCCAACATAACTGCCACACGTGAACTCTTAGCAACATTGCGGGGGAGTTTTAGTAGCTGGTCGCTTAGGCATTGCGAGATCACACAAAACACACGCAAGCAAGTGTGAGACTGAGGCGAGAGGGAGCGTATGGCGGAGGAATACGTACACACGGCGTGTGTACATATTCCTCCGCCACTAGCATCTTCTGTATAGATATGTAAATACCAAGATATGTGAACACGCCTGACGGCAGGACTCTGTTACCATTCATTGTACCATTTATTCACATGTCTGTATTACTACATATTATTATAGCATGTCTGATATCTATGCTTATGTCTAATGCCTATGTTCACTTACTATGTCCCGATATACTATGTCTGTACAGCGCTAGTCGAGTAATTAGAGGACCTCATTTATTGTCCTAGTGATGTCTAGCAACTCCCCTTGCCTAGCTAGCTAACATCCCTCAGATCGGCCTCGGCCTACATACGGCCCGGGGTCCCTCGTACTCGCTTCTGTATCGGTCGGCTATCCCGCCAAGTCTTGTACCACTTATTGAATATATCTACTGCTCGTGCTCTGGAGTTTGAAGAACCTTGTCTAGGATTGCATCCCACCACATCTTCAACCTCCAGAATGTCTAGTAACGTATCTGTCACTTTGCACTTATTCTTGTCAAAGTATCTTACCATGACTGCAAGTATCTGCGCCACTGATACGTCGGTGCTTTCGTCGCTAATTAAAGCAAACTTATTCTTCTTGCATATTTCCGCCATTTCTTCACGTTCTTCCCATGCTAGTCCATCCTGCATCACATATGAGGCCTTTGTTTTTTTTTCATAGTCATTTTCTTAGCAGTGTCACATTTGGGAAACATCCTTTTCATTACCTCAGTTAGATGATCTACTTGGGAAAATGCCATTCCATGTTCTACCATATATGCAAACAACAATAACTCTGCATTATGCACTTTAGGGTCAGTTAACCACTCACTTTTAAATGCTTGGTGGTACCACATCCTTCCTCTCTTTTTTGGTGGAGTTTTATCACCACTGCAGCTAGGAAATACTGACTGTTTGACTTTATTATGGTGGGCAGAATAATAATGAATGTATGAACACACATTAGTTGGTTTTCTATAAATACTGAACTTAAAGGTGTTACCTATTCTGTGTATCAGACAGTCTAGGAATGGCAATTTACAGTCTTGCTCTAATTCCACAGTGAATGACAGTCTAGGAATGGCAATTTACAGTCTTGCTCTAATTCCACAGTGAATTTGATCGAGGGGGAAGTTGTTAAGTTGTGGCAGGAAAGCTTTTAGGTCCTCATTACATGGCCAGAGACATAATACATCATCAACATATCTAAACCATACTGCTGAGGGTGGTAATTACTTAATAGTTTCTTTTCAAAGAATTCCATATATAGGTTGCTTAATACAGGTGAGAGTGGATTACTGATTGCCATACCAAATTTTTGAGCATAATATTCTCCATTGAATTCAAATTTGCAATCCTTAATACATAGTTTGATGAGTTCGATGAAGTCGTCTTTCGAGACGGGCAGTGAAATATCATCCAGGGAATCTATGAGAAACTCTAGTAAATCATCAACTGGGACCTTTATAAAGAGTGATGTTACAAAGATGACTATATCTCTAAAATGAATGACCTCTTATGTGATACTACAACATATTCTAAACTCATAAATAATCCTCTCAACACTGTCAACACCCAGTTCAACAAAAAAACTGAAGTCCCTATTGAGAGGCTAAGCTACTCTCATTAAACATCTTACTTCAACGTCCCATCCACTGCCATACAGTACATGTACGGTGTAATCAAGACCCACAAGCCCAATAACCCAGCAAGACCCATCATTAGCTCAGTTGGGTCAATCCCTTATAAACTATCTAAATGGTTAGTTTCTTTACTAAATCCCCTAGTTGGCAACATTTCTAACTCCAACATCAAGAATAATATGGATCTGGTTGATAAACTCAATAACTTACACATTAATTACGATTTTAAACTGGTCAGCTTTGATGTAACATCACTCTTTACAAAGGTCGCAGTTGATGATTTACTAGAGTTCCTCATAGATTCCCTGGATGATATTTCCATGTAATCCAGTTGCCTCTGAAGATGTTGTAGTGGAATTCTCCCCTACAAACGCTGTTTGTCGCTGCCTAGCCGACCCCACCAATTCCCCAGTGTATGCCTCGTGGTCTAGGTCAACCAGCGCCGCCATACATCACGGAGCGGGGGTCAACTGCTAAGCCACGCCTACCCCCCGCTATTTAAGACCTGACCTCGTGGTGATCTCTCTCTTTCTACCTACAGCCGCAGCCAGCAACACCTCCTCCGCCGCTGACTGGCGGCCTTCCCTCGCTCCCCCGCCTGCCTGGCAGTCCTCTGTCCCGCTGGCGAGCATGGCGACCCACAAGCTGTCCTTCTCTGAGCGTCCTCACTAACCAGCTCTCTCTACATCACGCTTGTAACCATGCTGCCTTCCCAGCACCAAGCTGCATTGTACATCCAATACAACATGTATACAGAGAGCACATCGTGAGTTTCCTTTCTCCATTCCATCCTGAGAGAGAGCACAAAAACCCATACTCATTAATAAAATTATATTTTTATATATATATATATATATATATATATATATATATATATATATATATATATATATATATATATATATATATATATATATATATATATATATATTTATCTTGATAAAATCACACGGGAAAATGGAACAACGGAGTCCTTAGCTTTCTTTTATTCAAGACATCTTCAGAGGCAACTGGATTACATGGACAGAGAGAGGCTTAAGACATCTTCAGAGGCAACTGGATTACATGGACAGAGAGAGGCTTAAATATACAGGGTGACCTAAAAACATGAGGTCAGGTCATAATGATGACATCCACTAATCCCCACACCAACACACACGTAGAGGAGCTTAAGAGAAGGGTGGTGACGTGACTAGACAGGTCAGGTCAGAAAAAAGGGACCCACAAAATAATTATCATACATCAAGGGTTAGGTTAAGTAAGGTTAGGTTTGGTTGGTTAATCTTCAGGAAAAATAGGCTTGGGGACTAATCTTCATGTGATCCAATCTTCCTATGTATAAACAGATATTCACAACTTACGCTGTAAAGTTGGTGTAGTAGATATGTCGGTCATAGCTGAGAGCATGAGAGGGTGTGGCCTCCGCAGATGTGGTGAGGTTGTCCACTAACTCCTCCTGGTCGTCTTGGCTCAGCTGACGCTTATCATATATTAATGACGACAAGTGTTCAAAACCCAAGTGGCGGGAGAGTCTGTAAGGAGAATCAGTCATCATAGGTGTGTAGTTGAAGAAAAAATGCCAAAGTAATGGAAGGGAAGAGGAGTTATGTCATAGAGGAGGAAGTCAACAAAACAAGAATGGACGAGTTGACGGTAAGATTTTTTGGTAAGATGGCAGGTCAATGGGTAAAGAAAATGCTTAAATTCACTATAATAATGATATTTTAAAATAAATTGGCCCAAAAAGTGTCAAAAATAAGGGTTAAAGTTGCTAAAAAGTCACGTGACTGCTTAAAGCTCGGTGATTGGTTGTGACGTCACTGGCTGGGGCAAGCCGCCCACCGGGAGGGAGACAGCCAGCTATAGTTGTACTATCGTGCACAAAAATCATGTCCACTACCCAGCCACAGTGAGGTTTTGAATAGCCTTGAGTCTGAAGTTTCGAAACAGCTGGGGGAAATGCTATGGTCGGCCAACAGATGTCGCCCACTGTAGTGTGGGGGGGGGAGGATAGAGGTGGGGGTTAGTCTAGTAACAGGCTGTGTGTAGGCGGAGCATAACATCGTGAATTCCGCAATCACTGATAACAATAAGAATGTCATGTAAATAGTTAATATTATTAAGCATGGCGAGAGATGTGTAAGGGTAAATAAAAGCACTACAACGACCATATCTCTGCCGTTCATGGCTACGACGGTGCGAATGATGGGCACACCAGTAATTAATTCTCCATGACTACCAGTAATGGTAGTCACGGAGAATACACAAGTTGTTACCAAGGTTGGCGCCACCCACACCAGCTGAAGGAGGTGATGTTGAATACTGAAATATGCTGAGGTCTCATTTCTACCATCGTCACCAACAGGTAAGTCACATTAATTTGTCAGCATAGCCCATGTCGTCCTTATACTATTGCAGGGTGTCCCATGAGTGAGAGCAGATATTTGTAGAGGTGAAAGAATATGTGATATTGAGTTGAAAATCTTCTATACACATAAGCATTTTTTCGGTTAGCAAAAGTCCTGGGAAAATGAACCATCAAGTCACAAGCTAAAAATGATCAAATCATCAGTTTATCCTTGGTCACCATCAAAACAATCCTCTCAACATCACATAACTATTCTGAATCGTCTAAGAATTGGGCATACGCGATTGACGCATGGCCAACTCATGTCTTCCCCTAATGGAGCCCCACCTATATGCTCCAACATATTCTCATTGAATGCCCCATTTGTAATCGGTATCGAACAATATGCTTCACTAACCCTACAATGTAAGACATTTTAGCAGACCCCCAAATTTTCCCGAAGTTCAGTTTTGACCTTTTTGAAATACTGTAATCTCCTCCAAACTATATAACACTAAATTATAGAAACACAAATATATGTTAACTAATCCCTCTGGCCAGCCCTAGGAGAGACTCAAATGGGTGTCAGTGGTCTGGTTAAACTAAATCTTGATGATGATGAGGATTATCGGCAAATGTTCACTCTACAGTCACAGGGGAAATCCACTTGCAGTTCACTATGAATACATAAAATAGGAAGGGTTTCTTGGGCAGTTGATCCTAAAAAGATTCACCAAAACGTTATGTCAGATGAAAAATACTTAACCTAGGTGTTACTAATACCATGAATTTACTCTAGTATATAAAAGCCTGTATCAGTTACCACAACAAAATATTACTCTGCCATTTCAGATATGCCTGCAGGATGAGCAAATTCGTTGGCAGTGATTGCCGAGCGAGGCCAAATCATCGGGATGTGGAGAGCCGGTGCAACTGTGCCGAACATTGCTCTCGAAGTGGGGAGGAGCACCAAGACGATTAGGAGGTGGATCCGCCAGTGGGAGGAAGAGGGCTCAGTGGAGACGAAACCTCGAAGCAGGAGGCCACGAGTAACGTCAGCAAGGATGGACGCCATGATCGTGGCAGCTGCAACGGCATATCCAATGCGAACATCAGTGGAGCATACAAGAAATCTGGGCCTTAACTGCCATCACATGACGACGAGACGCCGACTTCATGAAGCCGGGATCGACTGCCATATTCCAGCTCACAAAGGGTGGCTAACACCTACTCACAAAGAGTGTCAACTCGGCTTTGCATTGGAACACCTTCCGCATAGAGAAGAATACTGGAGAACCATTATATTTACCGATGAAACGGTGTTCAGGTCTCTGGGAGCCGAAGCAAGGCAGTGCTGGCGGCCCCCCGACTCCTGCTACCATGAGAAACACATTTAACATCGCGCAGTGAGTGGTAGGGTGTCAGTGTCATTCTGGGGTGGATGTGGGCACATGGGCCAGGTGAACTGGTCAAGATCAATGGCCGTTTCACTGGTGATCAGTATGTAGACGTCCTGGAGCAAGTGCTAATTCCTCCAGTCCCGGTTATGGCAGTTCCAGCCCCCCACACTATCAGGCTGGTTCATGACAACAGTCCCATTCATACCAGCAACATAGTGAAGGACTACCTCCAGGATCACCCTGAAATTGAGGTCATCGAATGGACCGATCGTCCAAGATGCTAACGAGCCGAACAGTGGTGAAAAGGACAAAAAAAAAAAGTAAAAGTTATGGGGGAGACGAAAAATCTTCGGAGTTGAAGGTAAAACATCACGGGGGTACACAACGATGACTTAAAAATATATACATTTCTGTCAGAACTGGTTATTAGGACATTTAAATATTAGTTTTCTTTAGTTTATCATTTTAATTTACATACGAGTGTATTGTATTTCAGAGGCTTTATCTATTCATATATAACTAGTTGGAACTTTCCGGATAAGTTTTCAGGGTCTACCCACACATGAAGACTTTTCCAAAATGCTTCAATAACAATTCAGATTACTAAATAGTAACCCGAACTAAATCACGTATATTTGCTTTATAAAAATTAATTACGGTTTGGAGGGCGCTTTCCGGATAATAATGAGTAACCCGAGCGTTTAAAAAACATGGCCGAAATTGTACATACCTGCGGAGGATAGTCTGCATGGTTGAGGAGGCACACTTGGGGATCCTATTATACACCAAGAGTGAGGCATCAGGAGGTGTAACATTGTATATACCTCCAGTATAGTCACTGTCATCTTTAATGTACTCATTCACCTCTTCACCATTACTATTATTTCCAACATATTCACTTTGAACTTCATTGTAATCATTATCATCATTACTCTGTACATAGTCATCAGATGGATCATAGTGTGTATAATCCTCTGTATGAGGGTTCTTATTACCAGTTTTATTATCATTATTTGCTCTGTCTTTACTAGGGTTCGGTCTTCTGTCTATGAGATGACCATGCTCACTGTTGCTGGCGACCAATCTCTCATGTCTCCCATATTCTTTGTGTCTAAGTCTTGCTTTAATTGGGGGTTTTGGCACTTCAGCATTTATTCCACGCACATAACCTACAAATATAACAAGGATTACCTTCTCATTTTAAGATTATGAAACCAAAAAATATCATAAAAGTACAAAATATAGAGATAAATTTAACTGTCTGGTTACCCATCCACGATGTTACTCTCCATAATTATATAAAGTAGCCTGAGAAACGAGTAATTAACATTTTTGTTCCTCAATAACAAGCACCGTAAACAAAAGTCAATTGGAAACAAGGAAAAAATGTAACACGATAAACTGTATAAACTATGAGAAGAAATAAATGATGGTGAGAAACTGGAAATGCGAAGGAGACTGTAAGAAGAGAGAAAATAAGAGATGAGGAAGGAATCAAAATGGGGGATGAAAGGAGGGAAAAATAGACAACAGAGCTCGAAGCGCAATACATGGTCCATACCAGAACTCAGATGCCTGATGGGGTGCTGATGTTTGCCGGTCACAGAAGATGTGGGTGGAGCTGGCCATGCTAATGATGCACGTGGTTGAATGGGGCTCACACTCCTCTGGTTCACCCTTGAGGAAGGAGGGCGGCCACGGGTAGTAACGGTGGGGGCGTGGCTGGACGACACACCAGGAATAGCTTTGTACGATGAAGACCTAAAAGAGCTTGTTTCATGATCTTGGAGGTAGTGGAGGTTACTAACGTGTGTGCGGGAGGACGATTTGGAGGCGTGAGTAGGTGAAGGAGATGGGTGGCGGTGGGTGTTGGAGGAGGAGGGATCAGGGGCCTGCCACAGCATCAGCAGCGCCCCACACATAACCATCCACGTCACTCTGCCGGAGAAAAACACAACTACATTAACAAAGTTATTTATCATTTAGAGCAACATTATCTTAATAAACAACGTACCTTTACTAATATGTACTATACAGCATGTTCTTTATCCTTTTATCCTCTACGCTTGGGCAGTCGGTCACGCCTCTATTACACACTATTGGCAAGTACTGGCCTTGTACTGGCTCCAGAATTTATCTGCATCTGCACCAGTGTTGGTCAAGTCTGGTCTTGAAAGAGTTCACACTCGGTGCCGTTACAAAACTCCCTGACAGATTGTTCCAAGAGTTTACGATTCTCACTCCGAGTATCATTCCTAAAAACATTCCTTGAAGAAAGCAAATGGATGTTCCAGTCACTACTTGTCATTGATGCGTACGACTGCTGTGAGAGGCCTCGGAAGAGCGTTTAATAAACCCATTCGTGTGTTGGAGCTAGACCCAGAAAGTGTTCACGAAGCTCCAGAACGACTAAGAAAATGGCCATAAGACTCGAGTGCACAGAGACATATGAACACAAGACGCCATACATCATAACACAGGTCACCGCCAACACCCAAGAGTGTTTACTGGCCCACCATCCCTTCAGCTCAGCTCCAGGTGAGGGTTAGTCACATTCGTCTCATTTTTTTACCCACACCTAGGCTAGTTGACAAATACAGAATCGAATCACCTGAAGATTAACCACCCAACTTATTTCGCCTAAAGATTAACTACCCTGCCGCTAACCTACCCCCCCCCCCTCCCAGGTCTTGTTAGGGTGTTTAATCATAAGCTGCGGGAGGGGCGGGGTTAACCTTGAGGTGATCCACAGAATCTTTTCTAATAAACACCGTAGTGGTCGACCATCACCACACTAAGGTTTGTTCCACGAGCAATAAAGGAGACCGCCGGTAACCAGACACAGGTGTTGCCATTAGTTTCCTACCAGGGTACTTCACTGTCCTCAACCTGTGACTTTTCAAATCATACATTAAAAAATATTATGTGCAAGTGTTGAAGAATAGGAGAAGTGATCGTGATGCATAAGTGTTATCAAGGTCCAGTATATTTACCAGGGTGCCCCCCCCCCCTCCCCCCCAAAAAAATCAGTCTAAGTCTTCCACATGCACACTAAAGTTGCCAGTAGATGGTGAGGGCTGGGTGAGTGCATGCTGGATGTGGGAAGACAGGCAGCCATCCCCCTCACTCACAAGCAGGGGGTCGTGTACACTGCCAAACTGTCACGCTACACTGGCATGGCTAACAAAGAGAATACGTTTTCGTATCAAACATGTGTAAACACTCGCTCCAAAAGGTATCTTACGGATGGGTCTGTCAGATGAATTTCAAAATTAACACCGTGACTCCTGTTGTCTCGGTAGGGTTTTCAACACACCCTAACAATAACCTTAACTACACTACCTGTTGGCTGGTCCAAGTTAAACTAACTAAATCTTACCAGGAAGAAACTTATCAACATGTAACTGACCAACAATAACGCGAGGGTTCTAATCTCCATATGATCCATGAGAATCCACGTTAGCTTTAGCTTAATTAGTTAGGATAATTTTGATTAGAAGAACGTGAGTTTTGCTTAAGTATGCAATGCAGATTCATACTGGGTTTTTTCTTTCCTAACGTTAAGTCGAAAACAATTCTGTTTTTGTGACCTGACTATTTTTCAACACGTCGACCAATGTTCTACACAATTGTGATTGAATACACATAAAGCAGGAACGACATTGTATATTTTTTATTCTCGGTAGGAGGGCAAGGGGACAATAAGGATTGAGGGAGAGGGGTGAGGGGGCAAGGGAGAGGACACACGACACCCATCACGCAGCGCTGGTCCGCAGCTGCCCACCACCGCTCACCAGGATCAAGTTTCACCCCCACCGTAATTTATGAGACGCGTGCCTGGAATATTCAGCGGCACCAGGTTCTTGAACGAGGATGTCTCCCTCATTTGAGTTTAATAAAGAAGCGGCGTCATAAAAGCTCGTGGTGGTGGTCGAGCGTACACAAATGAGCATGGGGCAGATAGTACAGTAGTAGAGTCCACCAGGGAATAAAAAAATAAAGATGGCCGAGAGCTCGAGAGGAGCCACAACTCCTCCCCTCCACGCTGTTAAATAATTATAAAAAAAAACCTACCGATTGTCGGTTTAATGAACCAGTGAATACTGCATTACTGGGCTCACATTTACACTGTAGAGAAGAGCGATTTTATTCGCTACCTTCCACAGTTGGTCATCTCCACCAAAGTTGTCAACCCCCCACTCAGGGGTTGACTTTCCAATGAACTTCCCCACACACACACAAAATGTATACTGTATACTGAATGGAAAAGGGTTCTCAGTGGAGTACCGCAAGGCTCTAGACCCACCCTGTTTGTGATCTACAAAAATTCATAAATGAAAATATATTGCCACAATGTCAAGTTGCGGACGACACGAAGATATTTGGGAAGGTATCAAGTCAAGACGATGTCGCAACAATACAGAATGCGGTTCAAGTGGTCACGAGACCGGCATATACGCTTTAACATTATGAAATGCAAGACCTTACATATAGGATACAACAGCCCGAAGCATAATCATCATGATAACACTTTCCTGGATGCTGTCGATAAGAAGAAAGATCTTGGTGTTGTGATAGATCATTCACTAAAGGCGGCGCAACAAGTGGGTGCAGCAGCGAGAAAAGCAAACTGATATTTGGGAATTATAGAGCGTACCTTCGAATGCACATATAGGACAAGGGTTTTTTAATTGTACAAATCTCTGTTACATCACAGTTTGTATTACTGAATACTGGCATGGAAACCCTACCTCTAGAAAGACCTACATCTCTAGAAAAAATGCAACACAGAGCGACTAAAATGATTCCTCAACCACATCATCTAGATTATCCAAGTAGACTGATGGCCTTAGGACCAACAACTCTTAAGGCAAGACACAATGGGGCAGATTTCAACCCGGACCATTTCTTCGTGATACCATGCACCATCAACACGAGAGGACATAACTACAAGCTCACCAAGTCATCTTGCAGAACTAACATATGGAAATACATTTTCACACAGAGACCGATAGACCAATGGAACGGTCTAGCAGCTCAAACTGTGGAATTAGGAACAGTACTGGGCTTCAAAGTAGCCCTTGACAAAATTACCAAGAATAGGTGATTCTACACAGGTCACTAGCCTCCTCCCCTCGGTATTGCCACCTATAGTGAGTGGCCATTCGGTAAAATGAGGTTATTCAATTTGTCATAGAAGAAAAATCACAACAGAATCAACAAATAAGGAATAAATTGTCAAGGGAAATTCAGCTGGCATCTAAATCGGTCGACAGTGCGGCATTTCTCCTTCTGAGGCGTTACTACATACTGCACCAGCGTGGCCAGTCATTGTACAGATATTTCCGAAGCCCGCGTGCCAGGAAACTAAACAAACTAACAGAAAATCTTGGGTCTTCGATCACTAACTTACAGGGGCAATGAACCAAAGTCAATAAAAAATAATGATTATCGAATTCGTCCGAGTTTTTGCTGTGATATTTACACAAAGTTTCACTGCAATCCTTTTCTGTATGTTCACATTATCGCTTTCGCATTAGGTAGGTACAAGTGGACATATGAACTGAAGGATACGATTTCCACACCCCCTGTAGCTCGTCTCTGGCAAAATACAAGGGAGGACAATAACCTAACTCCTCCCATACCGTTATTGGACGAGAAAATTATTGTACAGGACTTTTGTTTTTACGGGGATTAGCCCACCCGGGCACAGGTCATTGACCCACATCAGAGCCTGGGGGCGAAAATATTATTATTATTATTATTATTATTATTATAATAATAATAATAATAATAATAATAATAATAATAATAATAATAATAAATTTATAAAAAATAAATAATCATAATAAATTTGTAAAATAAAACAATAATAATAGTAGTAATACAGTAATAATAAAATAATAACCACAAATAAATACAAAAAATGAAAAAAATAATCAAGAATGAGAAACGATATACAGTATGTATGCTGTGTTGTTAGTAGTAAGAGAAACAATAGAGACCCTGCTTTTGTGTGTAAACGAGGCAGAAAGTCAGATGAGCAACCCAGGACTTGGTTACAATTTTCGTGATGCCATATGGCAGCAGGGTCAACTATTAGAGTTGATAAGACAGTCTAACACAGGGGTGGGCAAGATACGGCCCGCGGGCCAAATGTGGCCCGCCAGTTTATTTCGGTGGCCCGCCACTGCATGTGGATAAAGATATATACATATATACATATACATATATACATATATACATATATATATATATATATATATATATATATATATAAATTAAAATCTTAGAAAGGATCATTATTATGTGAGAGTTGGCCACCCTGTTGTGAATACTTCAAATATGGTTATCTATAAGGATTAGGATTTGGGATTAGGCAAATGGAGGTCAGTGAACCCTTACCCGAGAGACCCATAATTCTTGACCATTTGACCAGGACGGCCACGCCCACGCCTCAATATTGTTTCCCAAGCTGACCTCACCGTCCAGCACCAATACTAGAAAAGCTCAGTCTCCTCTCTGCTTCTCACTTAAGAGGACATTAGTGTGGTTTTGCTGAATTTGTACTTATGTATTGTTGCCCCAACCCATAATTTTAAAGTGGAAATGAGTGAATCTAAGAAGAGGAAAGTTGAAGCAGAGCATCGAACACTCAACAAGGAATGGACTTCTAAATATTTTTTTACCAACGTGGATGAAAAAGCAGTGTGTTTAATTTGCAGAGAAAGTGTGGCAATGCTAAAGAATTACTTAAAGCGCCACTTTGAGACCAAGCATCCCAGTAAATATGAAAAATTTTCTGATGAACAAAAGAGGAAGAAAGCTAACGAGATGGTTGTTCAATTACAACAGAAAAATATTTTCAGAAAACAATTTGCATCCAAGGATATTACAAAAGTGAGTTATGTGATTGCTCACAAGATTGCCACAAACAG